GACGACTATGATTTTCTGAAAGAAGGCAGGAAACAGGTAGAAGACAGGATACAAAAGGAGCTTGCTAAGGTAAAGTCTATGGTTCAGTACCCAGAAGGCAGAGAGCAATATCGCAGACTGCTGAATGTTGTCACTGAGATCCAAGAGAAAAAGGTAACTGAATGTTTTCTTTTTCTAATTTTTCATTTGTAGTTTTTCATAAAAGATATCACAGAATGTTTTACACAATCCGTAATTGGAAAGTTATACATGGACATGTTTTAATTTTGTTTACACATGTTATGGAATTATGGCTGGCAAGATCAGTTTATCTCATGGATTTGCTACTGAAGCAATTAAGAAAATTTGAAAAGTTGAGGTTGCATTTTACGTGTTTGACTTGTTCCAGGGTTTACCTTTTCCTGATATATGGAAAAATATCTATAGTTTTTTCTTTGGCAATAGCCAAATAGGCTAAATAATTTGACAGTTAAAATGTTGGTTTTCTTTTTATTTTATTTATTTATTTATATATTTTTTTAAGTACTGGTTTGTATGAACATGTTTCTTTTAACTAACTTCGCAGGTTAGCGCCCCGAGTCCAATTGATTTTGATGAAGACCTGATAGATGTTGAAGCATTATTAGAGTACGACACTTCATGGCCAGTGGCCACTGCAACTTGAGACATCTTTAAAACCGCATGTAATAAAGTTACTAGAGATTTCAGAAATGCCAGCCAATCGCTGGTGTGAACGCAGGCATATCTCTCCAAAAAGCACTGGTGAGTCACTCCCCTCAAGTGCCAACCAGGATTGTTCTACTCTGGTGTTTGTCCCTATAAACGCTCAAATGACACCAAAGCAGAGACACAGACCAAATTACATGCTGAAATGTTCAATAAATAACAGTATTACTCATAGATGAGAAATACTTCTAGTATGAGCTGTTTTGTGGATAACGGTGGTTTAGGTGCCTCAGGTTTGAACCCGACTCTTAACTTCAAATCAAGATTTTGAAGTTAGTGGGTGCAACTTCGTTAAAGTCTTATAAATTGTTTTTCCTGTACCTGTAATTGTAAGTGATGAAATGTGAAAACTATTTTCTTCTTCTCTCATCCCTGTCTCTTGCTTTAATAACTCTACTTCTTCCCTCGATCTTATCTTAAGGAATACTTCTCTTAATCTTCTAAATATCTATTCCTCTTTTACGGTACCACTTCTTGTTCATCACTTAAATGCAGATGGTGTCTTTTCTTACATTCAATAGAAAACAGTATTTTTCAATTGCATATAATTGTTGTATTTTCTATGTTTTACCAAAAAAAAAACAAAAAACAAAAAGGCATAGCTGGTGTAAATTAATATGTTAATTTCTGTTGCCTCTGCAACTCCACTTGCTAGTAGAGTTTATCAATTGAAGGTGTGTTGCGTGAATCATGAATAGAAACAAAACTTATTTCCCCTTTTATAGACTCATAAACAGAACTTGAAGTGGGTCTAAAGTTGACTCAAACATAAACGGTTCATTATTTCAAGGGCGCGTTTGGTTTTTGGTACACAAGGGCATGTTTTACTGGTAGGTGTGTGTTTTACTGGTAGGCGTGCAAGTGCCTGGTAACCGAGGGTAGGGTCCTTGAAAATTTTTAATTCTTCTACGTGTAGTACACTATTACCGCGCGGACAGATTTTCTTTCCAACCCCGCAGGGACGTTGCATATGATTGGGACATGAACTTTTTGATTTTCTCTTGTTGTTCCCAGAATGTTAAAATCTCTTCTATTTTAGATATTATGGTGTTTGAACTCCTCATAACTTAGTTGTATGTTGCTGTTTTGTTAATTTTAATCTCATTTTTTACCAAAAGAAAAAAAAGAAAAAAAGAGACATTGCACATATTTTCTTTCTAGAGAAAAATATTTACAATGTTCTTTTATAATGAATCTTTATAATGATAAATTTTTATTAACTTTTTTAATTTAGATAAGATGGTGAATTTGGATTGGGTAATAATGTGTATAATAATTTTTTTAATAATTTTTATATGTTATTAAATAAATAAATATATATAATAATTATATCATGAGGTTCAATAAAATAAAAAAAATTAATTATTAAATAATATATAAGATTATATAAAAAAATCATGTAAAAAATTTACCTCTTAATAAGTTATCATTCATATAAGAGGTGTGATATTTTATTAATTTACTAATTTAATTATAATATAATGTAAAATTATATTTTTATAATTATAACATATCATTAAATAAATATATATATAATATTAGAAGGTTTTTTTAATGATTATATAATATTATAAGTAAAATTTTATATAAGAAATTTATTATATAATAACTCATAATACTTATAAACTTGTAATCACGGCTATTATTATATTATATTATTATTTTTAACTTAATACCATATAAATAATAATGATTTAAAAAAAGCCACCGCGCAAAAAGACTTTGCCCAAAAAAAAGAGAAAAAACCGCGCAAGTGCTGTCCATTTTCTCTCCGCGCAAAGTTTGCGCAGCGCGGTCAACGGCTATGCTCGATAAAAATCGCGACCTCTCTTTGAATGGATCACTACCGCATTTACTTTCCTTTTCCGAAACAGTGTTGATTTCAGGTGGTGGTGCTCATCGAAGTAGTAGAAGCAGGTCGAGATAATGGATGAGGGCGTTGAGGCTGGGCCATCTGTTCCCGACAATCCATTAGGTAAAGGATATCGGAGTTCTATTTTCGTTTCTTCTTCCTTTTTACCTTTTTCAATCCTCCTAGAATGTTTTTAGATACTTTTTGAATGTATCTGAACATTGGATTGTGGATGAGCTTTATTTAAAAAATGTTTTTAGAAAGGACTAATTAGGGGCTATGAAATGAGCTTAATTATAGTCTTCTATTCAAGAAATGTTCATAATTGCATTGATTTGGAGATTTTAGTTCAAAAGGAAATCAGAATATCTTACTATCTCTGTTCAATATTAGTTGTCTTAATTCGACCTTTTTGACTTTTCAAGACGTTAATTTCAATGAAAATTTAACATAATTTACAGATGACAATTGATTTTAACATGGTTTACTGATGACAATTGATTTTTTTTTTTTTTTTGTCGAGCAAAACTACCCAACGGTAACTACCTATAGGAAAAAATAGAAAATTTTCAATTGTCATTCATATGTTTTCTTAAACTTTTGTCTGAAATTAATGTCTGAAAAATCAAAAAGTCAAACTAGAACTAGTAAGGCTGAATGGAGGGGATAGTTCCTTGAACAAATGTGTTGTGAGTACTAACACAAAGTCTTGGGGTTTGATACCGGTTTCTTCCAATCTCTAAAATCAGATAATATTTGTGATTAAGTAGTCACCCTTCACATTAATGGATTGAGGATCGTAGTTATGGCAACTTTAAGTGTACTACGAGTGGTTCTTGCTTGCTGCACCATTCCTTAACAACTTGCTCATGTATATATGGTCCTTTTGTTCACCTGCAATATCTGATTGGTGCTAATTTAATCCTATTAAATTAATATGAATGTGGAAATACTCTAGCATGCATTCCTTTTCTACATTTTGTTTCAAATTATGTTGCAGTACCTAATGACTTATAATTGGCATGGTGCAGATATTGAGCAGATTTACTCAAAAGCACAGAATCAGTGGTTATCCCGACCTGAAATATGTCGAATTCTTCAGAATCATAAGGGATTCCCCATTACCTCAGCACCCCATAATAAGCCACCAAGTACCATTCCCCCAATTATAATTGCCACAATAAGCATAATTCATTTTGCTAGATAAATGGCAATTGCTCTGATAGCATCTATAACTTGCATTGACTAAACCTTGTTTTTGTATGGCAGCATATCTCTTCCATGATTACATTTGTATTTTCTTTCAACTATTCCTTTATTTTTGGCACCCCTGCAGCCGGTTTAGATGTTTAGTAGTTAAATCTTTTCCCCTATTTTTTAGTTGCAGGAATTCTTTATTGGGATCCATATTCTTTCTTCACAGAATGTGTTTAATTTTACTTTTCTTCATTTGTTTTGTACGCGACGTTTTGGCAGTGGGATTTTGCTTCTGATGTGATTTCTCAAGTTTCATCAACAGAGATCATTTACTGCAATTAAAATCAATTTCTAACTAGAATGTGCTTACTTTATTTAATTTATTAATTTCTTCATAACCATGCTTCTCTTATTTTCTACTGAATGAGAATACATTGGAAAAAATTTACGTCAATTGTTTTGACCTCAAAAATTGATTAGCTTATTTGTTGCATGCCAATAACTCCCAGTAGATAAATCCAATTCCTTTCATGTGTACCGGGAATCAGCTAGCTCTATTCTTTCCTCAACATTTCTGGCTTGTCGATTACCAAAACTTTTGTGGTCAAGGGTATTTGATATACACATAGCCTTGTAAATTTAATTGCCCTTCCTAAGCAAAACCTGCACTTGCACATGCAGCCATCTTGAAGTGTGCTTCGAACCACATCTTGGGGTAATATATGTTTCTGTTTCAGGTGGTTCGCTTTTTCTTTTTGATAAGAAGGTGCAAAAGCACTATAGAAATGATGGATATAATTGGAAAAAGAAAAAGGATGGGAAAACATTATCGGAAGGTCATCAGACGCTCAAGGTAAGAGCCAGAGATGTTGGATTTTGTTTTATGTCTTAACACTGTCAAATACTTCTTTGGAAATGATTGAAACATGTAAGCAACACAGCCTCATTCTGGTACTTTATCATTTGGTTATTCTGTTGAATTCTGATATGAAAACATCTTTTTCGTGCTTCCAATCCATTATTTTGAGCAATCATAATTTCTCAGGTCAAAGGCTATGGTAATTTGGATTGCTACTATGCTCGTGGGGAGGAGAATAGAAATTTTCTAAGACGTTGTTATTGGATGCCTAAAAGGTGAGTCTGTCATTTTCTTTTTGGTGAATGAGTCTGCCACTTTTTTATTGCTTAATGTTTGTGCATATTTGCATGCCATGTATAAAATTTGAGAAAATAGCTTCTTTTGTTTTTGTACGTTAGAGACAGTTTTAATTGGTACTCTGGACTTCTTAATAGGAGTATTTATTTATATGATGGCAAGAAAGTATGAAGCTTTCTTTCTTTCTTTCTTTTTTCAATTTCTTCTATTTTTAAGTGAAGGATTATCTATGCTTATGGTAAAATTAGTGTTTCTTTTCATTGAAAATTATATTCCACAGTTGCTATCAGTCAGAACCAGAATCTTGTATCTTTCTCCTTTTTTTTTTTCTTTTTTTTTTTTTTTTTTGGGTAAAGACCACATTTAGGCCCCAGCTTTCACCAGAAAACCAATTAAGCCCCAAGCATCTTGATGTAATCAAATCAGATTGATAGGGAATTGCCTATAAAAACTGAAACTGCCTCTTGACCCTTGTTTAATATAGAAAACATTATTCAAATAATTAATATGTAATTTCAAAAAAAAAAAAAAAAAACTTATATTCCCTTTTCAAAAAGGAAGCACTTAAACCAACTCTCCCAGCCTTGGAACTATTGCTCCCAAGGGACATGGCGTGCCAGATCTGGACTGTGAATTGCCTTTGCCACAGGGGGTATAATTTTTTCAGTTATTTATTTTTATTTTGTATCACATTTAGTTGTTCAAAGAATGTTGGATTAATTAGTACTATTAATTAATAATTTAAGGGTGAAATGTAGGTGTTAAAATATTTTGAGCCATTTTGTCAGATTAAGAAGTCTGGATGCTTTAATGATTAAAAAATTAAAAGACCTTATTAACTACCTTATCATCTTATTAAAGTTAGAAGGCTAATTCCTCTTCTTTTTTCCCCCCCTTTTTTTTTTATTCCAAAATTTTAAAACTTGTAGCACGAGTGAAATTCCAGAAACTTGTTTCTGTTCCAACAAATCAACATCGGGGTATTATGCTCAGGTTCCCCAGCTTATTTTCAAACAGAGGGATCATAGTAGGAAGAATATTAGTTGGACTGTGTTAACTTGGTGATTGCAAATTCTGATAAACTTTTT